ATTGTCACTGTCTTTGTTCATAGTAAATGTTCATGGTGTTTAATAAAAATGAATAATTCACCCCCCCCCCAGAAAACCTAGAAAAGACTGCTCATACTCTAAATTTGACACACAATCAAGCATTTTTATTCCAATGCATCTCTGTCCAAGGTCCGTTCTATATAGTGACACAGAGAGTGAAGCAGAGCACACAACACCACACAGAGCATGCGATGAAATAAAAGAAAAGTTTTCACAATGGACTCTCAACACAGAGGAAAATTAGCCAGGGCATAAAAACTAAGTTGTTTTTGTTTTGACTGAGACTGATTTAATCACTAAAGAATTTTAATGACAAACACACCGGACAAGACAGAAATAAATCTCACAAACAGCTTTCCGTCAGTAATTCTTCCTTCCTGTTTTCTAATGAACACCATGACAATGATTAGGCTCACTCAGAGGGCATTTTCTTCCAGGCGTGTCTGAGTCACTGCTAGATCTGCTTCTCCTCATTTGTAATGCTTTTGACCTGTTCGCGCTGTGTTCTTCTCGATGCTGTTCTGGTCAGAGTTGATAGAAGTGGTCAGTCGTTGTTGTGTGATCGTGCAGTCTTACTGGAGAGAGATTCCGACTCAGCGGCGGCCCTCTCGCTGTGCATCAAAGCAGGCTGGGTGTCACATTGGTGCAGGGCACAGGATCCAGGTTCTTTTGTGCTGAATGAGACACAGCTACTTTCACAGCTTAAATTTCTGCCTGGCTACTGTAGCTAAGCCGACGTTAGTGCTTGATTAGTACACCAAGCCAAGCCTTTACTTCCCTCCAATACGTGTGTATATATTTGTATAGGCTATATATAACTTATGATTTTTTTTCTTCATACATGTTTAACATACAATCAGCACACACAGAGATTAAGATTTTCAGTTCCCAACAGTTTCATTTAAAGTTTTGTGGGATTTCAGAAAAGTTACTTTCTTTTCATTTGTGGGGGTAAAGACATTTGTGTGTTGTTATCTAATGTTCCTGTCTAATGTCTGTCACCAGAGGGTCATAACAAAGACAAACTGGCATCACAATCCTGTTTAAAAGTGTATTTTACTTGACCTGGGGTAATGTGGGTCACTAGTAGCAGGCACGGACACTTTCTTAATGTATACTCAGTGTTTCGGTGCCTTTTTTCTGGGTCACACTCAACCAATTGAACTCATCTGAATTAGAGACACATATGTTCAAGCAACAATTGTGTGAAACAAAGGAAAACTTGATCAAATTTGTGCACCACCACATGGAACAGTTTTTGCATGAGGTCTGTGTCAGGGACACAGAGGCATTACAATAAGGCCATCTGTAAATAAAAATAATGTGAAAAAACAGATTCTGCTGTCAGGTAAAAACCTTGCAACTTCAAAATAAGTTTTCTGAGTTTATCTGACAGCTCAGATCTTGTAAAATGTTCTCATCCTGTCATCTTTCAGACTGAAGTTAACACATGAAAAACAGTTGCAATGTTTGTTTTTTTTAACCTCACAGCATAAAAAAGGGGAATTTAGTTTTAATGGCTATGAAGAGATTTGGTGATATAAATCCTGTCCACAGTGACAGCAGTGTCATCTTGGCCATATCTCTATATTTCTGTGCTGTTGCCACTAGCAACAGGTTTTATATTAACAAGTCTGAGCCTTTCTGCAGCCAGGGGGAATTTTAATGCAACTCCACATTAACCTTGTCCATCTGAGCTCAATTTGATAAAATGAGATCAGCAGGGAAGCAAATTGTCTTGTGTGTAATGTTTAAAATGTACTGTGTTGTTGCTTTAGTCTGGCTAAGAGCTGTCCCTCCGTGGTCCGTGACTGGAGGAACATGATGCTGTGGACACGGTGGACCTAAGAAAACATAGATAAGATGGGTGAGACTTGACTGGTCAGATGTAAAGGGCCATTCTTTCAGATGCCTCTTGGACACAATAACAACAGGGAGGGAGGGTGAAGAGGTGGGGCATCTTGGCTGGCATGAGAGGAGAGAATAAAATGTTGTGTGCTCTAGTAAACACAAATACATCTTCACATCTCTTGGACGTGCTTCTGCAAGTGGGTAGCTCTGTTTTTTTTTCTGAGCAATAGTGAAGAGTGACAGTTGCATAATTTTGTGCCACTTTTCACCTCTGTCAGTGCAATTTTTAAGAAATAATAAGAAATGTCAACAAATCTTTGAGCCTGCATGTCTGGAATAACACCGATTTCTGTTTCCTTTTTGATGCAGCCTTCTTTTGCATTTTCCTTGATTTATGAAGGAACATTTACTTTTAAAGACACTGTCAAGTATGAAGAATTACAGCAGAATTTTTCCAGGTTTGTCTAAACATGTGGGCTTCTCTCATCAGCAGATCAGCCTACTCTCTCACCACCAATTTCACTCGGACCCCCTTGATATTCTTCAGTTTAGTCCCCTCTTAAGTTCACACATCTGATTTACGCTCTCAGTGCTTATCGGCCCAACACCTTTACTGTCCATTGTGCACCCTGATCTCTCTACACCTCCTCTGACCATGAAACACTTTGCCTGGACGCTCATTCACAGAGGGGACGGGTGAGTGAGAGACACACCCTGCTGTAGTCACATGTTTACTTTTTTTTTTTTTTTTATTCAATTTGAATTCAGCCCATATTATGATTCTATTCATCAGAGCACAAGGCATTCTTTCTCTTGGCTGTTTGTGCTGCTCCAGTGCAAGACAGGACATCTCCCCCGACAGTTGAGGATGGTAAACACAGGACAGTGCTGCAGCCAGTGAGGAGTCTGCCTGTGTCATCTGATCCTGCTGGTTATGCCAAGACTGAAGAGAGACAGAAACACGAAGAGAAAGACGAGTCAGGGAAATGTTTATGAGGAGAGAGGAAAAAAAGAAAAAAATGAAAGCTGAGAGAATTAGTGGGGCGCATGGTGTGTTTACGTTAGGTGCCACTGCTTTAAAATGCAGTTTTGGTTATCCAGGCTGGGGTTGCCTGTGGAAGTACAGTAGAGGGGTGAGAAAGGAGAACAAAAGGCCATTTAAAGAGCTGAGAGTGGGCTTGGCATCCATCCAGGCTGAGTGAGAGGGAGGCACAAAAGAAGCTTGTCAGGATGCCCTGCAGTTGTTTTTCAGTGTCAAATCGTACCAAGAGCATGTTGCTGTTCAACTCCATCCATTTACATCTGAGGCACGCCAACGATTCCCCCCCTTAGATCAGTTCATTTACAATCTGCTGTAATGTGCCTTTTGAGACAGCAGTGCCACTTGAGCAGGCTAGAGAGGCCTCTCTGAAGAGCTGACGTTATTCTGTTGTGATTTTAAATGCTGTCACATCAACAAACAGGTAGCCACTAATCGCTGGTTCCCATACTGGTCTCTGGGAAGCACGGGGGGCACTTGGTTTTCTAATAGCGCAGCACATTCCATAATGAGCAACTGTTTGATTTTATACAATCTGCTGTTAGTGGAAGTCTGCACAAAACAAAACATTTGACCAGTTTGGACTATATTTTTTTAGCTTTAGACAGAATAGTAAAAGTTTCTACAAAGCTTGTCAGATGGGATTCCAAACTACAAGGAGTGGCTGTGGTGTTAAGATGATCTCTTTGAGGAGCTTAAATATGAAAGTGATTGTGAGTCCTTGCCCCAACACACAATATCAGTGATCCTGTGTCTCAGTATTGGAGTTTTTGGGTCAAAGTGGAGTAGAGCACATATTTACAGGAACACTACTTAACACTCTGGAGCTCTGTTATACCTTGAAACCTGACTGACCTACTTGTGTCTTTGACAGAAAACACTGAGACAGAATTTAGATGCCACTGACCTGTTTCCTTGATAAATCCGGCATAACCAAAACAAGTCAAAGCTCCAAAAGTAAATTTAATCCAGATTTCCTTGTGAGTTGGACTACACCTTGTGCAGCTGTTGTAGTGTCGCCCGTATGTTCTCTGTGATGGTGCTGTTTTCTTGTGACATTTTGCCCCAGTCCCCCCGTGCTACAACACACTCCCCTCTCATCTAGAGTGTTTTGCGTTTGGGGAGTATGGCTTTCCGAAAGGAGGTGGTAGTGGTGCCTCTGCTGAAGTAGGCACTGCCTAGGGCGATCTTGGTCTTTCCACTGGTAATGGTAGAGGACCCCAGAGTTGTCGTGCTCCTGCCCCTTGTGATGGAGGAATTCCCCATGGCAAGCTTGCTCTTCCCCCTCTTTATGGTGGTGTTGCCCAGGGTTAAGGCCGTCTTGCCCTCGGAGAAGCTGGTGTTGCCCATTGAGGAGAGGCTTGTCTTTCTCACCCAGATTTGACAGCAGGGTTCGGGGCTCACTCAGCGCAAAGCATCGCACACTCATGCGGCACAACCTGTTCTGCAAGCACCCGGGGATAATAGTAACAAGAGCTACAATCCAGAGAAGACCAGAATGCTAAGCATGGATAGCACGACCCCCGTGTCACATAATGCCTTCGTTGAGCTGGTCGACGTGGGCTCTGGAAGGCCACATACCACCCATGGGTCCCTGTGAATGGACAGAGGCAGGCAGGGGGGGACAGTGGAGTGATTGTCCCATCGCCACGACGACACCAGACGGTTGAAGGACACATTGTTGCAAAGGGGACAATCTGCAGTGACATCACTTTCTTCTGAGCCATTGTTCCGTATAGCCTCTGATTTTAAGGCATTCCCTCTGACTGTATATACCTTATGTGAAATGAGCCGCACAGTGTCAGATTTGTGAAGAGAACGGATAAATGTGTTCATGTTCTCCACAGGTACTACAGGTTTTGATTGCACCTCTCCTGTATTTGAGTTGTTCCTCCATTTGAAATATGGGCGTGGTCCCTTCATTTGGTTCTGAGTATCCATTTGTGTCCTGGCTGAACTTTTTGCAAGACTACCCCATAAAAAGTTTGCTCTACATACAAACCAATCAAACCAAGCAGTGTTTAGACATGTTAATTTTATGAGCACCGTTATATCAACCAACTTGTACAGTTTTCTAGTTCAGAAACTGGGTTTGCTGTGAAACATACGGCAGCATAGTTATGGAAATGCAGAGACTTCAGAATATCAACCTATTGCAAAGATGCCACATTTATACCAGATATGTAGACAGGCTGATGGCTGTACATGCATAGAATACAGGAGAATAGGTGCAGATGAAAAGTACACAGATGCACTTGCATCTCTCTACACACATCACACATGACTGTTTCACAATTCCCCTCCCTGCCAAGCTGACACATTGTAACCATCATCTCCTCACTGTCACATTTGCATAACACGCTCAGCATTGCTTTGGAAAATCTCACTCTTGATTGCAAACCCATTAGAACTGCAACTCACTTAGCACTCTTTTATTTGGGAATTGGTTCTTGTACTTTGTGTAAATAGGTTATGCATGAATAACTCAATGGCACATCGATCTAGAACTCCTGACACACACTGATTACAAACATAGCAGATCTTTTTTTATCTACTGTTAATAATACTGACCTGCTAAAACCAGACCAGATAGACTTATCCTTGGGCTTTTAAGTATGTGCAGGATTCATGTGTGAAAATCCCAGTAGACGTTGCTGTGTGTTTCTTTGCCCCTGATGAGGGTGGTTTTGACCACAGACACAGACTTGGTTCCATGGGTGAAGGTCAGAGTGGTGAGAGAGCTCGTGGTCTCCCCCCTTGTAACAGAGGTTTTCCCCACTGATATGCCGGTGTTGCCCAGAGTTGTGGTGGTTCTGCTCCAGGAGATTGAGGATTTACCCCAGGAGATGGCGTACTTAGTCCTCAGGATCAAAGCCCTGCCTTTGGTGAAGGAGGTCTTGCTTGATGAGAATGTGGCTTTCCACTCATTGTTAGAGTCATTTTTGGACTTCTTGGCTGCTTTGGGTGTCTTAGCCCTGGTTTCAGGGGTCCCTTCCATCTAGGTGTTCCTGCGCTTGGATGTCAAGGCTTTGCGGAAGGAGGTGGTTGTGGTTCCACGGGTGAAGCTGGCCCGTCCCAGAGCCACAGTCGTCTTTTGCCTTTGGATGGTGGAGTCTCCCATGGAGGTGGTGGTCACTCCCCTGAAGATGGAGGAGTTTCCTAAGGAGACAGTAGTCTTTCCCCTGGCTATGGAGGTGCTTCCCACTGCCAGGGCAGTCTTGCCCTCGGTGATGCTAGTGTTGCCCATTGAAGTGGAGGCAGTTAGCCCGTGCCTGAATGCTGGCTCCTAACATGCAAGCTGCATATCTGCTTCCCTGTTGCGCAGCTGGGTGAGCCTTTGAGGTCAAAAGCTGAACTAAAGCTACAGCGCCAGCTGCCCTAAATAGATCAGACCACCATGTATAGATGAAGGGGAGGGAGTTATTTGACCATTCTTTAATGCCAGTCCCTCAGAGAGAGACACGACCCAAAAGGACCTGGAAGCACAGCATGCACAAAGGCTGAAAAGACAGGGGATTAATTGTGTTGTTTTCATGATAACACTGCCAAAGCAGTGAAGGGGTACATTGTGCAGTACACAAGACAATCGGGGTGACCTCAGTATGATAAGATGGCATAGTTCCAAATAAAAGGAAAAAAACTCTCCTCCCTGCTGTTGTTGCAGGGTTCAGATACAGTAGTACATTTGTTTGCTTGGGTACAGTACACGGCTGCACTGCAGCATGCACCCAACTGAAAGCTCAAAGACTTTAGACATGCAAAGTAGATTTCTTTTTTCTATTGCATTTTTTCCTCCTCTCTCTGTGTGCTTCTATTTCAGATTCTCTGTAAAAACCCTTCTGGAAAAGTACACAGCAGAGCCCATAGATGATTCATCCGAGGAGTTTATTAACTTTGCCGCCATTTTGGAACACATTCTCAGTCACCGCTTCAAAGGTAACACTGCAGGTAACATAAAGCACAGGAAAAGGTGGACCGATCAGCTAATATGGCCTTAAGTAGATAGAATAGAAATCAGCTGCATAACATAATCTACACCTTAACAATGGAAGTAAAATGATGGTATTATCTTAAGGCCAAAAACATGTATGAGTGTACAGCTGCTTGTACTGTTCCTGTGGTTATGTGCTGACAATGTGGGCTGCTGTCAGCGCAGAAATGATTCATTGCTGTGTTTAAATCTTGGGCTAGGTTCAGGAAGCTGGTTCAGCTCAGACGGCCAGCGCAGTTTCTGGGAATATATCCGGCTGGCATGCAGCAAGGTGCAGAACAACTGCATCGGCAGCATTGAAAACATAGAGAACATCAGCACGTCACGAGCCAAGGCAAGGCTATCTGTGTGCTGGTCATTGTGTGTGTGGGTGGGGGTCTGGTCTGCTCCTACTCACTTTTTGTTATCCTACAGGGGCGTGCATGGATTCGAGTGGCGCTGATGGAGAAACGTCTGTCTGAATATGTGTCCACTGCTCTGAGGGACACAAGAACAACCAGGTTAGACTAATGATTTAAAGGGACAATCCACAAATGTAAACTTTTTAGACACATTTTTGATTCTAAGTGAGTGTGCTATGGCAAATTTACTCATCCTAATAACTGCTTTTCTAGCCAAACATTTTCTAGTGAAACTCCACCAGAGGAAATACATGTCTGCTTACAGATGTTTAGAACATCAGATATACTGTAAGGACACTCATTGATTGGCTGTGGGTAGAATTGCTGTTGTGTGAGTATTATAAGGTCAGAGATGATGGTCATCTCTTCATCTGACAGGAGGTTCTATGATGATGGAGCCATCATGCTGAGAGAAGAGGCAACAGTCTTGACTGGCATGCTGATTGGACTGAGTGCCATTGATTTCAGGTGAAGACATACACAGCAGAAAGTTCCAGTAGCTATACAAGTGCACACACCAGTACACCTCAGTTTATTTTAAAATCACTACAGTTATATGGTATATATTTGTGAGCTATTTAAATCTGATGACTTTTGGTCTCGTGAAATTTTCTGAGCTGTTACACTGTTTGGGGGCTCAGTATTCAGGAATGTTCAAGATTTTGAATGAGGCATATTCACTTTTAGAGATACAGATGGATTTAAATAGAGATTATAATGATACAGTTTGGTAACCATCCATCCAGTATCCATACCGCTTATTCTGACGAAGGTTGCAGGCAATCCCAGCTGACACTGGGCGAGAGGCGGGGTCCACCCTGTACTGATCGCCAGTCCGTTACAGGGCTGACATGTAGACATACATCCAAACACACTCACACTCACTTCTACGGGCAATTTAGAGTCACCAGTCAACCTAAGCTGCATGTCTTTGGACTGTGGGAGGAAGCCGGAGTACCCGGAGAGAACCCACGCAGGCACAGGGAGAACATGCAAACTCCACACAAAAAGGCCTCGTGTCGACCCGGGCTCAGTCCCGGGACCTTCTTTATAATTTGGTGAATTAATTCTTAATAATATATTTGTTTGAGTCATCTCTTGTGACCCTATGTGGGGTCCTAACTCCTATAGTGCATTAAATAACTACAGTAGTAGGTATTCATGAATAATACAAGATGTATAGGTGCTTTCTCATGTTTAATGCATTTTTGTATCAGCTATGTAAGTGAAGGTACTGCCATAAAAAGTATGTTTCATTTTGTTCTTTTGTGCAGTTTTTGTTTGAAGGGGGAGACTCTAGATGGGAAATCCCCAGCTGTGATTGACTACACACCCTACCTGAAGTTCACTCAGAGGTGAGACTAAGCTAATCATGTCATTCCAGTCTAGCACTGCCTGGGTGTGTCTGTATGCGGCAGTGACACTCCTGCATCTCTGATTGTGTAGCTATGACTACCTGAGTGATGAGGAGGACCGCCGCAGCGTGGACAGCAGTAACAGCGAGGAGAGCGTCCCAGAGCATCCCTACATCCCTCTGGTGACCGATGAGGAGAGCTGGAGCAACAAGTGTCGCAAGATGGAGCAAAGGTTTAAGATTGTCTATGCCCAGAAGGTGACTCTCAGCAACTTCTAAAACCTTGTTTTCACTGCTTATATTCTTGTTCAGTACTATGGGCATCTACACACAAATCCCGATCTAATTGTGTATGTGTGTTGCACAGGGTTACCTGGAGGAGTTGGTGCGCCTGCGGGAGTCACAGCTGAAGAATGTGGAGACAGAGAACAAGCGTCTGAGAGCCAAGGTGGAGGAACTGATGGTCCAGGGCCAGCAGGAGAAGAAAGAGCTGGAGGCCATCGTGCTGGAGCTGCAGGCACAACTGTGAGAACAACTGAGCTGATTTCACTTGTGAACTTTGAAGAGTTTGACACTATATTTTGAAATTTGTGGATCTGGGGCTGCTATTGATTGCTGTAACAACACCATGGTGTGTAAAAAAAAAAAAAAAAAAAAAAAAAAAAAAGTGGATCACTGACATTCATAATATATGTATATCACAACATATTATTTCTACCTTTTGTGTTTCGGTACATATTTGCTTACTAAAATTTAAAGTTTTTTTGTTTTCTTTTAACCTTGAATCATTTTGTTCTTCGTGCTGTATGCAGCTCAGCCCTCATGCCCCGTGATTCCTCCCATCTGGCTAAAGGCCTCTCCACCCCGCTAGTCAACCAGTGGTCCACCATCACAAACAGCCGAGGCGATGTGAAGCTTTTCCGCAGGTTAACCTACTGTACATGTTCAGTGTTAATATTATATTTTTGTTTTTAGCCATACTTTTTTGACGCTATACTGCATAGATTAATCTACGGGTTAATAACACACAACTGAATTAAGTGCTGATACCAGTAATGTGCAGAGCATTGCAACAGGTTAAGTATGTGCATCTTGATCACTGCCCAGGAGGAGTTTCCACAGTTTGGAGCAGCTTTCTGCTGAAGTGAGTCTGAACTCTGACTCTCAGAAGCTTGATGGGAGCCAGAACGGAGATGCTGCCTGGACCTCAGTGGGTAATAATGCTTTTCAGTGATACTACATGCAACATGGAATGTTTCTTTCAGGATTTAAATGTGCAGGGATTTGCAGAGTATTGTTATTAAGTCCTGTTTTGTTGTGCCTTCCTTTTGGAGAATTTAGCCATTTTTGGCAATGGCACACTATTCCTAAGTACTAGTTTTACGGGGTCTGTTTAAATGATCTACTCTTTACCTTCCGGTATGGAAACCTCATTAGTGACATCACCATATTTCTGCTTGAGTAGGAATATATTTGTACTCTTTTCCCGATTCCACAAGAGCCTTTCAGTGACAGCTGCCCATGCACATGTGCTTACATACTCATACAAAGGCAGGCTTGATACCTCTTGTGGTGTTCCATGTGGGCAGCTTGAACTATGCATGATCATAAGTTGAATTTTGTTGGGGGGGGGTTTCTCTGTTTTGTCATTGCAGGAAAAGACAACACTCCTTCCCTGCTGGGTCTGTGTGGCTCTCTGGCCTCATTACCAAGCTCCAAGTCCTTGGCCAGCCTCAAGTCCAGCGAGTGTTTGGTCAATATCAGCACTGAACCCAGCCCTGCTCTCTCTCCCAGCTAGGAGCTCCAGACCCACAACAGTGGAGACTTAACCCCCAGCCTGTCTGCCTGGTGATGCTGCGTTGACCATGTCTAACCACCTGACCAATCTCCTGCTCCCACCATCCACCCAGCTTCATGAGAATATGACGTGAAAGTCATAATGTGATCTGGATTTTTGTACAGCTGAAAGGATCCATCACTTTTGGTTCTTCCCCTTCTTCTCACCTTATTTCCTCAACTTTTTGCAACTGCTCTCCCACCGCCACTTAGTACTGTCGTGGATCCTTTCGTCCATGATCATGCAAACTCCTGTTAAATCTTTTCCAGAACATCCATTCATTTCCTTTAAGTGTTTTTTCACCTTGCTCCTTATCTCAATATTAGTATGCCTTTGGCCTTTTTGTTTATTCTCTTATCAAAATGTAACCAAAACAGCACTTGCAGCTCTTTGGATGCAGCCACTTGCAAAGAAAGATGTGATCATCATTATAAGTGATCCAGGTTATCCATATAGATTATAGGATGAATTAAGAAGAATGTTTTATGAGTGTGACTTGAGTGTGTCAGTCCTGCTTGACCACAAACTGTTAACAGGGTTTAAATCTGTTCAGCTATTTATTGAGTCTATCAAATCTTAAGATACAACATATGTTCGTTTATCTCATTTTAGCCATTACAGCATTGTGTGTTCTTTTTAGGCATGTAAAATATACTGGATTTTATTTTTGTTTTGTGTTGCAATAAAATGCCTTTTCCATTAATTTTTCTCTGTTTCTGCAGAACACACTGTTGTCTGAAGAGTAATGTCAGAATCTTTCAGAGACACAGAAAGACTGTGCTGAAAGCCGTGATTTTAAAACTGGTTCCAAAGGAGAGGGTTAATAGCGATGCTGGACTGAGCAGCCAGCAGGATGGGACACATGCTCTGGCTCCATCTTGTGGTTTAACATAAGGTGTAGCATAATGCTTAAATGTCCTGAATGCTCATTTTTTAAAGAAGAAACAGAGGATCTTGTGGGGAAAACATGGGTAGCTATGCTATAAAAGTGCAATAAATTTTGTTCTAACCAACTTGACCGGGTTGGACTGTACAAATGATACCTCCGGGTCCAAAGACTGACTGAGTGATTGTAGCCATAACATTTAAATCAAACCGCAAGTGGTCCAGACATTTACATGGCTGCACTTTCACAGAGCAGTACTCAAGTATTGTACTTAAGTGCAATTTTACTTTAGTATTTCCAATTTCTGCTACTTCATACTTTGACCTCACTACATTTTAGAGGTAAATATTGTACTTTTTACTCCACTACATTTATTTGATAACATTAGTAACTAATTACTAAATTCACAAGCTACCCAGCAGTAATTCAATTTATAATTATATAACATGTTTAAAATTAGCTCCACCTTTACCAGCTGCAATATTAAAGGTGACCTATAATTATAATCCAATAATATGATATACATTCATATAGTGTGCCATTCTGCATAATGAGTACTTTTACTTTTTTACTTAAAATATATATATTTGATGCTAATACTTTTGTATTTTTACTTAAGTAGCCTAACATCTTGAATGCAGGACTTTAACTTGTAACTAAGTCATTTTTTACACTGTGGTATTCTTACGTGTATTTAGGTGTATTAAGAGTCTGAGCACCTCTTCCACCACTGGCCACAGTTTAATTTTGTGACTGTGGTTGTGGCTAATAATAAGTAAGATATACAGCAGCTATAAAATGCCGCAAATTATTAATGGATAATGTAGAGGAAAATCATTTTTGACTTAAAAAAATATTTTGTCTATAAAACACTCAATTTGCATTGCACAAGGAAGAATATGTTTTAAATCATATCAATAACTCTTAATCAAACTAAGGCCTTTGTACTTTTCACTTTTATTTTTGCAGTAATTGTCATAAACCCAAGTGAAAAATATTGTTTTAAGAAGCCTGGTGTGAAGTACAAGAAACATTGATCACACTTGATACTTTACTTAAAGCAGTGTTCTCAGTGGCTGCTTCTTAGCAGGTTAAAGACTCGTAGCTCATATATGTGTTATGAACTAAGCACAAACATTTAGTAATGGGCAAGATTTGCTGGGAGGCTGTATAGACTCAATATTTGATTATTTTTGTTACTGCATGAAACACTTCTGACAGGTTATAACTTGCTTGTAATAGCTACAACTAAAGACAGCTTGAGGAAGGTGATCAGGTTTCTCTCTGCCCTTTGTTAAAATGTATTATTACTGAAAATTGTCCTGGACCACTTGAGCCTATTTTAGTGACCTTTAGGGGGCCCTGAACCACACCTTTGCTACCACACACATGCACTCAGTTACACACACTCGCAGTGAATAGACCCAGGGTTTGTAAGTGGATTTTGAAAAGGAGGAGGAGAAGGGGCATGCCCTGCATAGTGGAGGACAAACCTAAACAGAGTGGGTGGGAACTTGGAGTTTTTAGGGGGCTTTGCCTTTTAGGAGACAGATGGCTGTTATGACCAATAAGTGTTCAGTAGTATTCTGCAGCAACCAACCAGATTGCCCTTGGAAGTATATTTTACACAAGATAGTTGCACAAGTTGAACTGTTGTGTTGTCATTTTGCAGAGTAGGGATATAAGTGGCAATGTGAGAGAAGATCAAGTCTGTCCTCTTCAGACTGTGAGATGGAAGATGCTACGCAACTAATTTAACTGCCAAGCTTACCTCTTCAAGCTGTGAAGCAACAATAATCATGATCCTCATCACAAAAGAAAGCTCACACGGGGTGCCTGACAAGAGGCCCGATCACAGTTTTGGATCATCACTTTGAATGAAATAAATGTGGGCACAGAGAGCGAGAGAGAGAGAGAGACCAGCGCCGTGCACAGCTGCAACGGGAGAGAAGAAAAGCAAAACCGTGTGTGTGTGTTTTCATAAGCGGAACTTAGCCGTGAGAGCAGAGTGGGGGATGTCGGGCAGAAGTGGAGGAGCACCTCAGGGGTGCAGCAACCCCAGCCTGCAGCCCCTCAGAGCCACGGTCCCATACCAGCTCCAGAGGAGCTCAGCTCTGCTCTGCAGAGAGGCCAAGACAGGTAAATACACACTTAGGAGGAGGTGTTTACATTTGCATTCACTTCCATGTGGTCCAGAGATCAGGCGTTTGTTTGGTGTCACAGTATCATCATTATCAGCCTTAAAAATGATGTCATATTTTTGGTGTTTTGGTGATCTTAAATATAGTGGATTTTGGACTTTTCCTTTTGATTCTCTTTCTCTTTATTATTTTACAAAGGGAAGCAGAACCAAAATGAATAGTGGTTTATTTTATCTGCAGAAAAATAATCAAGTATTTCAACAGTTATTTTCAAGCAAATATGCCAAACATTTGCCTCTTCCGTTTCCCAGTTTGAGGATTTGCTTCTTGTATCTGTTTTATATCATTATAAATGGAACATATTAAAAGCAGCTGGCTGGACAAAACTACAGCTCTGAGAAACTGATGGCCATTCTTACATGCCAACAAGAATCAGCAGACTACTCCATAATTAGATTAATCATGACTTAGATGCAGCTATAACAGCTATATAATAACCTAACTGGTTAGAAAAATCGAGGTCTTTAATGGTGACCATAATGAAGTTAAAAGGAAAAGGCCTTGCTTATTATGCTAACTTAGCTAAAAAGTATTGTTCCAACATCTATGAGAAAGGTAAGGCAACAACAAGGCCAGCTAAGGCTCTTCTCACAGTGCTATTTGGACACTCAGCCACCTCTTTACATTCTAACCTGTGGGATCTCTGATGCATGCTTCATGCTGACACAGCACAAAGCTTTAAATGCCTCTTTGTTTTACTTTGGCTGTGTTGTTCATGAACTGTGTCCATGAATGTCACTCCTACATGTAGTGGTGTTTATTTATACACCCTGTCTGCCCTGCAACTTGGGCTGATGACAGCATACTGTGTGTGTGTTTTTTGGTTAGTGGTAGATAAACTAGTACCCTGTGGTGACTGACATGCTGTGTAATTGGATGGCTTGGCTCCAGGTTAAAGGCACGGTCCACACATGCCACAGATTAAAAAGTGCTGCCAACATGCACACACAGAAATACACACTTCAACTCACATTACTCCAGACTCAAGGAGGTCTGGGAGTAATTTTGTGTACAGCTATCACAGCTTTTTTTTAATACTAAAATAAAACAAGAGTTTTGGTACACATACATGTCACATTGCCGTGGTACTACAAGCCAAACATGATCACACAGGCATAGGTTTGAATAACATCTGCAAGCCAGAAATAGTTTTACAGGTTTACACAACCACAGTATGCTCACTGTTTTCTGTCTGTTCCCAAAAGCTGACAAAACCGCAGCCCGTCCACCTAAACCCACCATCCGCAGAACACTTTCTTTGGATGCTATTGTTGGACCCTATCTGCAGGGACAGTGGCCCAAAGAGGCAGAGAGCACAACGGCTATCTGTGCCAATGACAAAGCCACACAGGTAAATATCAGCATGTCATGACACTGTTAGATCATCTGTAATTATTGTAATCAAATGAAAGTGGGCCAAGTTAAATGCCAGTCCGTTATTTAAACTTTCCATAAAATCAGCTGCTTAGAAAAAAAAAACAGAACCCAAATGTTTCTGTGCTGCACTTCTCTTGTTTGATAAGGATTTCAATAGATGGCAGGATATCTGATGTTCGCTCTGCAGGTGTCTCGTGGTTCCAGTTTGACGGTATGAGTGGAAGGCAGCCAACTGGAAATAGTTGTTTTCTGCTAACCCCCCCCACCCCAAACTGTAGCTATTCCTAACTAGTGCACAAAGCCCCAACTAACATCACTAAGCTCCGCAGCTTCATCTTCACTCCTGACACATTTCAAACCCGAAGAACCCCCTTTGCCTCCATTGTGAGGAACAGACCCCTTCTGACCTCATTATACAGACACCCCATCCCCCCAGCGTTCTCTTCAATCACACGTACACATGCCTCACCCAGCGCCTCTGCATTACTTCAGATGATTATTTCATTCATCATCAGTCATCCCACAGCACTTTCTCAACCCTGATGCAGGAAATTCACTGATGCGAATTGTCATTTCAAGAGAGCCTAACATTATTAGATTACAAATGTATTTCTGTAACTTTAAATCTATAGATATGTGCAAAGTGTGGCTATAATAGTGTTATTCCAAATCTATAGTCTGCAATCTGCTGAAGCAATAAGTACATCAGTCAGCTGGAAAACATTGCCAAGCATGTTCTTTAAGGCATTTATCAAACAACAAGGTAGTGTTAGCATGAAACTCCAAATCACTCCACTCTGCTCCACTATGCTCTACTATGATCTGCTACACTCTGCCCAGTTCTTCAGATATTTGCCAATAGGAAATTAGAATAAATGAGAATGCAACAAAACTTACTTCTCAAGCAGAAATAATTGAAAATCTCTGATTGGTTAGAGAGGTCAATCCCGCTCAAAACCTTTTAGATGCTAATATCTCTGCACTGCTACTGGTGCTGTTCAATGAGTCTGGGTCACAGGAGGCTTCAACAGCACCTCTCCACATTAAGACAAGTTTTGGAGCAGATTACTACAACAAAAATATTTGAAAAAAAGTTAAATACCATAGCTTTAAATACATGTTAATGAGCTGTCCAAGCTGGAAACATTAGCCATGCAGACCAAATGCTCTGCTACCTTGGAGTCTTTTTATAGGCTTGTGTCCCATGCTCCCCCTGGTCATGTTATGGGGAGCGAGGGGGTTTTGGTGTTGTATGATGAGGGGGGTCGGCAACTGTAATTTTACACCAATGTCACTGTCTGACTGACTCAGGCTGCGATTCATTTAGCCAGCTGATGGGCCACATATGAGTCCACTGGGCAGAGAGGAAGATGGTGTCTGTGTCTTTCTGCAGGCAGTTATGGCACCAGTATGTTTTCCACACCGAAAAAACAGATTGTATTTTGGGGACGAGAGCCATGATGTAGCCGTTCTACAGGCAGCGGGAGCTCAATGACTGTGTGTAAGGTTAGCTGAGACTGGCTTATGAACGGCATAGACGCCAGTGAGTGGATCAGATTGTTTGCACGTCTGTGAAGCAGTTGACTTGAAGCATAGAGGCACCACAACTGTGAGTATCTGATCCTGTAGATTAAGTTGACCTGGGTTTCACGTGGCAATGATGAACTCCCAGTCGTCTGTTCCCAACCAGCAACCAGCAGCAAACAACCAGACACATGCCAGTAGAAGATCAAGAGTCAATGTGAAGAAATCGGTATGATCATATAAATGAAACCACTACGCTATGGAGTTGTGACTGACAAAAGAAGAAGTGGCTGTTTGTCTTAGTTGTTTTTCCCGCTCCACTATGTGACTTTGTGAATAACACAGGTACTCTATGCGTGACAAAGTGTGTGTAAGTGCACTGAGGTGTTGAGTGCCGATAGTGGCACTCTATTTATAGTTTTTACAATGATGTGGTTTGGATGTTTTTTTTTTATGTTTTGCAACTTACTGTGGTTTTCTCATTGCCTTCCTCTGTGCAGTTGTTGTGGGGCAGGTGTGCAAGACAGCTGTGCAGCTCCACTTATGTGTTGAAATCAAGCTGTAGTGTTGATTGCAGTTTCCTGGGTTTAACAGTAAATACAAGAATCCTCACAAAGGTCAACCCTGCTGACAGCCAGAATTTCTGTACAAAACTTTCTATCACAGCCGCCAAACGTTTGATAGAGGAAACACTGTACTCTTTATTCATTACATTGCCATATTTTTTAGACTCCAAGTTCCTGGGCAGAGGAGACCAAAGGCAGAAGAAGCGTTGGAGGACACAAGCGCTCAGCATCATGGGGCAGTGCAGAGCACCTGAGGGAGGCAAGTGTTTGAGGGGAAAGTGAGCAACCTCTCTCTTTCAGAATGAATCGTAGGGACACCTGAATCACTTTTCTCTTCACTCTGCCCTTAGGTGGCCAAGCTGAAGCATCAGTTGCAGAAGCGCTCCCGCCATGCCCCTCCGTCAGCAGGATACGAGCTCCCCAATCACTCCCTGCCGTTAGGTCACATAGCAGGCATCAGTCAGGTAGACTGCTTCTCTTTATCCTTTGGGGACATGCAAGTTAAACACAGAGAGAACAAAGTTTTTGTGATTACTACCAATCCCAGATGGTCTTCCACAGGCAGACTAGGCAGAGCTTAGTTACAGGGATATAAAAAACATTGGTGCTTTTCTTAGGAACGGCTGTCATCCCAGCTCCTGTGTTACTGCAGACAATTTGATACCACAATATCATGCTGTACCACTGAACCAAACATCCATCCATCCATTTTCTAAACCGCTTACTCCCAAATGGGGTCACGGGTGCAACCAAACACCAAACCACAATTGAAGAATTAAGTACACAGTCAATCACAGACACACTCTAAATTTGCCTCTATTTTACCTGCATTTTCTCAGATGATGCCCTTGATGCCGCTGAACAGACTTGCCCCACGACTGCGGCGTAGCGTTGAAGGCCTGAACTTGGAGCTGGAAGAGGTGTTTGTGTCTGAAAAACCTGATGAGGTTAGGACTAATTGAAATAATTCTAAACATAAAAAATAGTTAAACCAATACAGAAAAATGTACACAATATTTCTTCCTTAAAAAAAGCTTTGTCATGTAAATTTGATGTATTTCATACTTTCTATTGTGCATTATACTATGGGTTTATGTCATTAAGATATATATGTCAGACATCTTGGAGAGTGTGTAGTTATATTTCATGTTTTGTTTTGTTATGAATACCTAATAACTGATGTTTGTCTCAACATGATAAAGCTTTCTATCATGCCATGAAACTGCTTTGTCATGATCAAAGAAAAAAATGAACTGAATTAAATTAAATTATCTGTGTAATTTTCAAAATTTTATTGTACATTAATTTGCAAATAAAAAGTTGGGTATACTGCTTCACTACTTCCTCCTAACCTTACTTGCTTGTACCTTTCAGAAGAAAAAGTATCTTTTGCAACTCTTTGCTTTTGTTTCTTCTGCTGCTTTGTCTGACCCCTTCACTTGTTTCCTCCTGAATATCACAGATTTTGGATATCCCAGATGGCCACAGGGCTCCTGTCCCTGCCCAGAGATGTAGCAGTGGCTCTCAGAGTGAACCTTCCCCAGGGCCCCTGGATCCTTCTCTCCTCTCTCCTTCCCAGTCCCCCTGTCCTCTAGATCCATTACTTCTGTCACCTTCAAGTTCCCCTTGTCCACTGAACTCAGAGCTTTTATCTCCATCACAGTCTCCCTGCCTCATGGGAGAGCCAGGTTAGGCAGCTTTACATTTTTGTGAGGTACTCTCAAACTATCCATTGAGGTACTAAACTTAAATATCTGAATATTTGGACATTTCTGTCCCTTTGTACAGAGCTGGTGGAGTGTGAGACCCCGTGTCCCTCACCGTCGACATTGCTTCCTTCATTTGCACTGGATCCTCCCCTCTTCCAGCACTGCTCCTCCTCTCCTCGTCCAAACAAAACCTATTCCTTCCAGCGCGAGCCACCAGAAGGATGTGAGCGAGTTCAAGTGTGCGATGAGGCAATGTGAGTATCACTTTATGAACCAAAACATAATGCACAGATCATATAATCATGGTCAAAATAAGCTGCTGGGGAGCCACAGAGAAAAAATTTACATTAGGACACCACCAAAACCTCCCTTATGTAAGAGATTAAAGTGAGCATCAGATCATCAAAGCTCTTTGGGAACATAAAAAAGTTGTTGGCTGCAGCAGTTTGTCTGAAAAATACTACTAACCCCATATCTCTTTTCATTTCATTACCTCAAGGTCTGCTTGTCAGGATGAGCCGCTCCTCCAGCCATCCTGCCCTGACCCCAATAAAGTCAATTTTACCCCTCATGGAGGATCTGCTTTCTGTCCTGTCAGTTTTCTGAAGCCCCTCCTACCGTCCATGGACCTCCTTTTTCGTGGCCTGTCAGTGTCCCCTGTCACTGGTTGCCCAGGTCAAGCCTCTCCTACCAGACACCTGGGCATGCAGTAGGTGAATATCTGAGATGAGAGCCCCTCTCAGGACTAACCCGCACTGCACTACCAGTACCTGGAAAGACTAGATGTGTTTTACATGCAAGTGTTCCAGCAGATACCTTTGCTTGCCTGACGCAACACTGCTGTAACATGCCATGATCACTGTGATCAAAATAAGAGGCTTTGTGATTGTAGGTATTTGTTGTTATCAGTCTTTAGAATAACTTTGACCCTGATTATTTTTTAACCTGAAGGATGCTTTGATTCAGCTGATGTTTGCCTCATCAGTACTTTAACTGTCCTCATACTTCCTCCTATGGACTGTGGGCTAAACTACCAGACTTTTTTTTTTAAACATTGTTTTTTTTCTTGTCTTTTTTAAAATAAAACTGAATATTGTTTTAATTGTATCATCAGTTTATACAAAGACTTCAGTGCATCAAGTCGAAATAAGTGATTACCGTCAAAAAGCCTCGCACTTAGAAGACACATATTATAGTCTTACTATCCTTTCTTTAGATTTCTATTCAAGCAAAGCATTAATTTAGATGAAGTTTCAGTTTAATTTGAGAGTGTAGGATTATGGCTCTTGTTACCATGGCTAACTCTGAGAGACAAGACAGTCCAAGTAACTTCAAAACAGTGCTGATTTATTCAAAGGATCACAGGTAAAATTAATACTACACGCTCAGGTATCTTGCACCTCCAAACTGCTCGCAGGCAGATGTAAGATGAAAGACCCTGAACCCACCAGGCCTGTACATTATATCCCCTCGGTTGGGCTAGCCCCATACTACACAGAAACGTCAACCGGGACGTCTCTGTTACCAGCTTTGCAGCTGGCTCTAGCAATAGTCAAAACATGAAGTAAATCAATGTGCATGTGTGTGTGTCTGTTGATTAAGTGGTGTGTAGCTAAAAACATTCTCACAGACTTCTAGAACATGTCGTGACTTAAACATAAGAACATATTATGGCTAAGGCTACAGTTATACACGTCATAATAATAATATTAAACACCCTGTCTGCTGACAGTCATCAACTCTTCTCTCTAGTTATCCTTGACCAGATGTACCCTGTAGAAACTCATAAGCATGACTAAGCATTTAACAGTCTAACTAGACATCCTATCTCCACTAAACATTTCTAATACATAAAGTATCTATCCAATATCGATCTGACTAAAAATATCTAACAAGAGAAAGCTAAATATTTTATGGGTTTGATCTGGAAAGTTCTTAAATCTGTTGGTTGAAGACAAATATTTTTGACCTATAGTTTATGATGGCTTACTTTTCTACAGATGTATTTCTAGGAAAATATCTATTTTTGTATCCTTATGAGGCAGGTCACACAGTTTTTGTATTCACTAAAGAAACTGACTTGCATTTCTGTTTACACTTTGGTGGTGTATGAGTAGAAATGTACATTTTATTAGCTTTCTTGCCTTCAATGGGGATTGTCTGAACCAAGCTATTGTATTGTCAACTTTTTTAAGAATTTGAGTGGGTTACATTGAGTTTTTGTTTAATCTCAGCCTCTCTGGACCGAGTGTAATGTTTCAATATCATGTACCTTATTGTATATTGTATTGTTTGATATAGAAGTCAAATTCACTATGTTTTTGTTAGTTTTTCAGTGATCCTATGCAATACCAATTAAAAACATGACCTTCATAGCATGAGCAGATGCTACTGAATAATTTTTGTCAGCTGTGTTTTCTCAGACCTAATTATATACAGCTTTCTTACTTTTAAAGCTAATAACAGTTTAAAGTGTTTAGTGTGTTCTTTCTTATTGTAAAGGAAATAAAATAACCACAATTTCCAGGCTTTCAAAATGGTTCGAACACTTTCTATTATCATTCCATCCACTGCTTTGTTTGTCTGTCTGTATGTTTTTCTTATTGTTGTGCCTACATTTGACACGTGGATTTGTGGTCTTTAAATCTAAGCACTGCCCTTTTTTACCCAAAGCTCTTTTGTGATTGGCCGTGAGTGTTTCTCTATTGCCTGACATGGACCAATAACTATAATCCACATCCTAAAACGACAAAAAGACACGCGACAGCCCCAGAAAAGGACCGAATATTTTAAATAGCTGACTTTACAACTGCCACTCCCCATAACACGACCAATTAAAGCCATTACTGACAAGACAAAGTTGCCTATCTTTAGCGTTTGGGAACGGGAAAACTTTAAACGAGCCGCTATGTGTTTGTAGTCAAGATACATTTTATTAAACCTAGTAGAAAATGTTCAGGCTTGATTGGTGACCCACGGGGGTCCTTCCGTAAAACCAAATTTCAAGAAACCGCCTCTTTTCACTCTAAATATAGGCTTTAGTTACACGACCTGTACTTAAGCGATAGTACCGTTTTAACGGCGGATATGGGATTCTGCTGAATTACAGCTTTTCCGGAGGGGATATTTGGACTACCGGAGAAAGGAGCTATAGTAGGATGCTACAAAATGACTTGATATTTGACTTCTGTGCGGCTCCAGTCAATTCAAGATACTGTCTGACAGCTTTGGCAAATAACAGTTACCGTGCACAAGGGGGTTTGGAGACATTTATCAGCAAAACCTCCAGGTGCTAAAGCCAAATCCACAGCTAACGTGAAAACGCGAGCACCATTTCCGGGCTCGTGACATCGGCTATAGTGGAGCTGGACGTCGGTGTGAAGGACGCGGGGAGCGGAGCGGTGTCTGTTACACTACCTGGGCTGGTGGACGACATGGCTACGGGAAAGGGAGCAGGGAAGCCCGCCTCGCTATGGGACAGTATGCGGATACGGTTCATAATTTGCTTCCTCGGAGTCTTTGTGTGTTACTTTTATTACGGAATACTGCAAGAGACAATGTAAGTAACGGTTAGTGACCAACCTGGTTTATGTTAAACTTCGAAACCTGAACCATATGTGTTGTGTCCAGCTGCCAAACTCAATTGAAAATCGGACTTTCATAGCGACAGTGTATCTTGAAAGTATGCGGTTTTCCTTATCCAGTACTATGAATTTGATACAGCTGCAGCTAAAGCACCTCAGTAAAGAGAATGTGCTATTATGTCCATGCGGTAATGCAAATTTGCCTATATCCACAAGGAAACAACACTGTAAATAGTCCAGTTTTGGAATGGAGCAGTTCCTAATTACCGTTGCTAATTGACACAAATAAGCCAGCAAGGAGGCAGCCAGAATTCTTAATCGTATAACACCCCCACCCACCCAGTTGTAATTTAATGCTTCATGACCACTCTTATTGAAGAACCTTGTCACAGCTTGGAAACTCATGAAAGCTGTCAGTTTGTTGCACATGCTGCTGCCAAGTAGGTTACTTCAGTTTCTGATTCAGTGTCTGTTATTTGATGCTGTTTCTCTGTTGTTCCCAGCACTCGAGGTGATTATGGCCAAGGAGACAAGAAGGAGAAGTTCAGATTCGCCCGGACGCTGGTCTTCATCCAGTGCATTATCAATGCTTTGTTTGCTAAGCTCTGTGAGTATGTGCTGCACATGAAAAACACAAAACTATAGTTATTAAAACAGTTCAAAATATATTCCAGTAGTTATACATTTATTCTATTTGTGTTGGTGCATTTTAATAAAAACATGCTTCTCATTATCATCAGTGATCCATTTTTTTGAGGGCTCCAAGCTGGATCATACCAAGAGCTGGCTCTATGGGTTATGTTCCCTCTCTTACCTTGGGGCCATGGTGTCCAGTAACTCTGCCCTTCTGTATGTCAGCTACCCCACGCAGGTGAGTCTGTACCTTTTTAGATGGGGCACAGTTACCTGGTTATCATGATTCCTTCTGGAGTTTGTGCATCATCAAGGTTTGGTGCTGTTGTATCCTGAAGCTGTGTTTTTGTTGTGATAGGTGTTGGGGAAATCCTGCAAGCCCATACCAGGTAAACCTGATAATCTCACTTTTAGTTAGCCTACTGTTTCTGCCTACATATTATCTGGATACCTGGATATCAAAACCTGTGGTTTTATCAAAGAGATGATATCAGCACACAGGAGACTTATGGCTAGCATGGCAATTCATTTGTGTATGCAGTATTGCAGTGCCTGAATATTTGTGGTAATATACTGTTTGGTATAAAATCTAAGAGAGCACTGAGTTTGTAAAAACAATCAAGTATTAATCAGATGTAGTCCATGTCATACTCATTGCAAATAGTAAGTAGAAATAATTATCTGAGGATTAACTGTGCTGTCAAACTGATGGGGGAGGCTGTGTGTCAGGAGGTAGAGTGGGTCGTCTCCTTGCTTTTCCAGTCCACATGTCCTTGAGCAAGACGCTGAACACCCCCAGTTGGTCCCGGTGATATCACCAGTGTGCGAATCTGCGTGTGCTTGGGAGTACGGATGGGTGAATGGCCAAATAGTGTGAAAGCGCTTTGAGTGTGCTGCAATGCATAAAAAAAAGCACTGTACAAGTATAAGACCATTTACAGTACCTAAAATTGTGGTTGTTGTTCAGGGAAAATTTGATAAATGTGCCTTTGCAAATCTGTGGAGTTGAGAGCATATGTGACTGGTTAAAATATGTTTTGCTTGTACATGGAGATTATGTTGCACCACTTATTGTTTGGTTATTCCTTGTTACGCATTCACAAATGCATACACACAAAGAGATTTTTCACCATTCATATATTCCACTCCCAGGGGTGAAAGCCTGGCGTGGGTGGGACTAGGGCACACCACAGTTATATATGGTATGCACAGCTTAAAATGATTTATCATGTTGTTCCAGTGATGATCCTTGGTGTTACATTACTGAGGAAAAAGTATCCATTCGCTAAGTACTTGTGTGTACTGCTGATTGTGAGTGGTGTGGCTCTCTTCCTCTACAACCCCAACAAGGTCTCAGCTTTGGCCGACGACCACGTTTTTGGGTTTGGGGAAACTCTGCTGGTGAGTTAACCTGGCTTTATATTCCCTGTATTTGACTTGTTTTGTCTTGTTTTTTCCCCTTTCGTCTGCATCTCTCATGTAGTCATGGCAACTATGATATTTCAATGACATTTGTGTCATTGCTCGTATATGTGTTTTGCGGTGCCATCACAGCTTGTATCTCTGACACTGGATGGTTTGACTGGTGTGGCCCAGGACCACATGAGGGCTCGCTTCCAGACGAGCGCCAACCACATGATGCTGAACATCAACTTGTGGTCCACTCTGGTGCTGGGGCTAGGTGAGTCAACACTGCTCTCTGCCAAATTCTCATCTAACCAAAAATGTGCCATGGATTGTCAAGAGCATGGAGGGTTTTATTCCCACCAAAACAACATCAGGCCATTACACTGATCAGCACACATGCGGCCACAGAGAAAAAACTAATGAGCTAAATCACCTTCACATGGTTTGGTGCCGCCAAAATCTAACTGAATGAAATTGAAACACTGCCACAAAGCTCTTTGATTCATTCTCTAATTTTCACAGTGTTTAACTATTACTAATGCAGTTTGCTTTTATAATACTGAAATGTTTGTGGACATATTAATACACTTCATTCAATCTGATAAATGTTGCAAATGTGAGGCGTGTTCTTTTATATTGAAAAGAAAAGACTAATATAAAGATATTTCACAGTGTGAAATTTATTATGCATTAACGTATCAAAATAAGCATGTGCACATGGATCTTCACTGTTTAGGAAAAACAGAAAAGACTGACCTCAACTTGCCGGTATACAATATTTGTATGAAAAGATGTTACTATCTGATTGGTCAAAAACTGTGGGGGAGAAGCCATGGTTTAAACTTAACTCTCCCGATATTGGTCCTTCAGTCCGTCTGTCCTCCAATCATCCTCACTGCTCCAATGGTTGTGGACAGTGCCCTAAAAGGGGAGGAATACCTACCCTTTCTTAATTTCTACATAGACACTTGCGTCTTCCTTTGTTTCCGACTAACTGCTAGATTTCGGACATTGCTTTCCAATAAAACTGCTCTGCCTGTGT